ATCATTTGGATTATATAATTTTGACATAAATAAGTGTGTCAACTTTTATTCAACAGTGTAATTATTTTTTATATTTATTGTCATCCATCTCAATAAATAAACATAAAAGTATTTTGTTTTTTTTTTTTTTTTACGAAGAAGGAACTTAGAAGTGATTTAGGAAAACTACAGTACATCTTTATATACTACAATTACCATGTGCAAAATTATTATATGTCCTGAACCATTGGTCTCAACTTATTATCAATTGACATATAAATAAAAAATGAAATAAAATTAACATATTGGTGATTATTCTGCACCATATATTATTTTCTCTTATTATGTGACAAATTATTAGAAAGACAACTTCTTACATAACTTTTCAGTCGGAACAGTCCACATGAAAAGCCACAAACTGACCAAACTGCAATGGTTGAAGAAAACGCTGAAAGTCTACCCAAAAGTCATACCAACATTTTTGAGTGGGGAAGAAAAGGGAGAAAGAAACTCTCTCCATGACTCCTCTCTCCAAACCAACTCCTCCCAACCTCAAGAATCTCCATCAGTAAGAAATTCAATTGCAAATCACCTAAAACCACCTTTTACTAGACTGATTCATCATAACACCACCCCTTCTTACTTCCCAAAATCCTCAAACAATCATATAGCCCTTACAAAACCAAATTCCAAACCAGTACAACAGACAAAGAATAACCACACACAAGTGAATTCACACCAAACCTTACTTCCCCCTAAACAATCATCACCTAAGTTCATCCTCAAAAAACCTCCATCCACTATCACCTCACTCACACAGGTCTGTCCACCACCTCTTCCATCCACATTACCAGGGGAACCACACTTACCACTTTCCTCCACCTACTACAAAACATAAGACCAACCAACCATGTCAAACAAAAAACAAATAACACCTATAAGATATCCCACCTTCAACCTAAACATCAACCAGATAACTTACCAATAAACTTCAACCCTTTGCTATACTCTTCTCCAACTCACCAAATTGACAGACTCCAAGAACAACTTGAATGGAAGGACGAGAACCTGGGGAATTTGGGAAATCTTTTCACAAGAGACTACCCTTTAAAGTGGTTCAAGATGCAGCGGCAAAACTCTGGACATCCCATGGACTCACTCACACAATTTTGGGTGACAATAACACATTCTTGTTTAGATTCTCTTCCTCATCCCAAGCTCAGAAAGTTTTATCTCTTGGTCCTTGGTCTATTGCTGGGAAACCTTTCTCCCTATTGAGATGGACTAACCAAATCCAATCCCAACCATCAACCATTGCATGTATCCCTACTTGGATTATTCTTCAACATCCCTCTCAATTATTGGACAACAAATGGTCTCAGCTACATTGCAAGCTCAGTGGGAGAACCACTGTATGCTGATTAAGCAGCAGAAGACAGAACCAAACTCAAATTTGCAAGACTTTGTGTAAATGTTGACTTCCAAAAGCCTTTACGCAATGTAGTCCAACTCCAAATGGAAGGAAACTTGGTTGATATCAGAGTAGAATACCAATGGATCCCAAAGTTCTGCAGTAAATGCCATCAGCTCTCTCACACTGTCAACTCCTGCCCTCTTAACATCATACAACCACCACCCCTACAAATTAACAAACCATCCTCACAGTAAAACAATACTCCAATGATCGATCACAGCCCTGCAATTCAACCTACCACTGAATGGGTGACCATCAAAAGGAAGAAGAACAAACCACCAGTCAACACTGCTCAAATATCCCAGCAACCATCCTCCTCTTCTACTCCAGTTCACAACACCAACCATTTCCAACCTTTAGCTAATCCACAGCTTATTCATTGCACCCTACCTTCAACAAACAACATCATAGTTCACAGACCCACTATAAGTAACCAACCAAATTCCCCTCCACTTACATCACCATTCTCTCCCCTTTGCAGTAAAAAGTTCAATTTCTCACCAAACAACACCTGACCCAACTCAAGCACTCTTACAATTGTACCATCTTCCATGCCAGAAAATCACCACCCTTCCTCAACTTCACCACAAAATTGCTCTCCTGCTATATTCCCACAGTACAACAAACACAACAATAAACTTAAGCACAAATCACCAATTCCTTTACCAAACCATAACCATGAAGAGGAACTGACATCAGAGGCCACCACACCAGCAAAGCAGATCCATGGTGTAAACAGAAGTGCAAATTCAAGAGATCAAACAGTTTCCACCCTCTCCGAACCAGTTAACTCTCATCAAACTGTATCCCAAGGCACCACCTTAATGAGGTCTTTGAAGAAAGCTGCGAGAATGAAGACAATTCCCTGCACTGATGTGATGTCTTACAAACATCTTGGAGGTTCATTCTCTCCTCCTTTAAATGATTACACTGCTTACATGGAACATTATGGGGTTAAACCAACCCCCTAAACAAGCAGAGATTAAGAGATTAATCTCTAAAAAAAGAATTGATATAGTCTCCATTGTGGAGACCAAAGTGTCTCCCACAAATGTTGCATTTATTCATAAGAAACTTGCCCCTTCTTGGAGTATGGTTCATAACTACTCCTTCTCTGATTTGGGTAGAATGTGGGTGTTATGGAACCCAAACACCATCAATCTCTCTGTTATCACCACTACCTCATAGGCCATTCATTGCTCAATATCAGTATTAGGGCACAATATTAGCTTCTTCACATCCTTTGTGTATGCTGCTAACATTGCAGCTAATAAGCAGCTCCTATGGGAAGATCTAATCCACCATGGTAGCCTCTTTTCAAACTCTCCTTGGCTCCTCATGGGTGACTTCAATGTCATTCCAAACACTGGGGAGGCTCATGGGGGTTCAATGAGGTGGAGTAATGCTATGTCTGAGTAGTATGATTGTTTGCAAGAAACTGAGTTAGAAAACTTAAAATTTAATGGGATTCTCTTTTCTTGGAGCAACAAAAGTATGGGGAATGCCTGTATTGCCAAGAAACTTGACAGAGCCTTGGTTAACCCTAAATGGACTGAAAAATTTCCACTATCTGAATGTTCTTTCCTTCCACCAAATATATCTGACCACAACCCAATTATTATTACACTGGATCTTAACACCCCTAGAAGACATGTCCCTTTCAGATTTTTCAATGCATGGACCACTCATCCAAAATTCCAATCTTCTGTGTATGAGGTCTGGTTTACTTTCATCAAGGGTACAGCTATGTTTCAGGTGGTCCAAAAGTTAAAGTTGTTAAAGCAAGTGCTAAGAACAAACTGCAGGAAATAATTTTCAGAGGTGGATTCAAGGCTGCAAGCTATAAAGCTGGAATTGGATTCCTGTCAAATTGACCTGGACAATAACCCCAGTGATCGCAGCCTCAGATTGATGGAGAAGTCCCTTACTACTGAGTTCTGGAGATTAACAAACATACAAAAAGACATCATAAGACAAAAGTCTAGAATGAGCTGGCTTAAACTTGGAGATAGCAATTCAAGTTTTTTTCACAAATCAGTATGCTCCAGATCCAATAGAAATAAAGTCATCTCCCTCTCAACTGACTCAGGTCATATCTTATATGATAAGGAAGACATCAAGCTTCAGGTGGTAGCATACTTCAAAAATCTACTTGGATCCACACCTCCTTGCACCCATCATATTGATGATCTCTCACCCTTCATCACAGCTCACCTATCCACTCACCTGCACCACTACTTGGATGAACCCCCAACACACTTGGAGATACAGAATTGTATGCTGCAGCTCAACACATGCAAAACACCAGGCCCTGATGGGTATAATGCCCTCTTTTTCCATAAAGCTTGGAATATTGTGGGTAGATCAGTCACCCTTGCCATTGCGGAGTTCTTTAGAAATAGGAAGCTACTGGCTGAGGCTAATCAAACTTATATCTGCCTAGTCCCTAAATGCCAAAACCCCTCTTCTCTACATGATTACAGACCTATATCCTGTGTCAACACAATTTACAAGTGCATTGCTAGCAATGAAGCTGCAACAAACCTTACCAGAAATTATTGACCCATCCCAATCAGCATTCATCCTTGGCAGGAAAATCACAGATCCAATTCTACTAACCCATGAACTCCTTAGGGGATACCATAAGCACTCCAAGCTAGTAAGATGTGCCATAAAGATTGATCTCAAAAAGCTTTTGACTCTATTAAATGGGATTTCATTTTCAACTACCTTAACCTCCATCATTATCCCCAAAAATTCACCACACTCATCCATGCTTGTGTGACATCCCCCTCATTTGTTATTGCCCTCAATGGAGAATTCCAAGGTTACTTCAAAGGAAAGAGAAGGCTAAGGCAAGGGGACCCCCTTTCACCTTTTCTCTTTGTAATTGCAATGGATGTTCTCTCCTCAATCATCAAAAACTATGTGAACAAAGTTAACTCCTTTAGGTATCACTAGAGATGCAAGGATCCAAAGATCACACACCTCTCCTATGCTGATGATCTTTTCTTGTTTTGCCATGGGGACATTACATCTGTGTCTGTACTAAAATGTGCCCTTGACCACTTTTGTTCTATGTCTGGTCTTGAAGTAAACCTCTCCAAAAGTTCAGTCTTTCTCTCTAGAGTAGAAGAACACATTGAACAAGCCATTCTCTCACTTTTTGGCATTGGAGCAGCAAATTTACTAGTCAAATACCTTGGTGTTCCCCATCACAATCTCCTTGAAGGCCTCACATTGCAGCCAACTAATTAACAAAATCACTCATAGGATTTCACATTGGACATCAAAATCCCTTTCCTATGCTGGCAGACTGCAATTGATCAAGGCTGTGTTGGTATCTACTCAAATTTACTGGAGTAGCATTTTTATTCTTCCCAAAGGAGTCATTGATGAACTCAACAAAATTTTTAGATGCTTTCTATGGTCTGGGGTTGAGATGAAGTCAACTTGTTCTAAAGTTGCATGGCAAAAGGTGTGTAGACCTAAGGCTACAGGGGGTTTGGGCATCCCAAATTTGGAGTAATCAAACAAAGTAGGCATTATGAGGCTACTTTGGGACCTGCAATGTGGAAGCTCAGATAGAATCTGGATCAAATGGTGTAATTCACACCTTCTAAAATCCAGAAACATTTGGTCTCTAAAAATTCCTCACTCATGCACATGGAGTTGGAGGAAAATTTTACAGTTAAGATATCCAGCTAGATTATTAATAAAACATAAAGTTGGTAATGGAGCAGATACCTCATTTTGGTGGGATAATTGGGCTCAAGGAGGTCTTCTCTGCATTAGATTCCTAACAAATGTTCTTACAGATCATGGTCTTAATGATTCCATCACTCTTGACAACTTCATTGAAGGATCCACTTGGTCATTTCCACAGTCACTCACAGCTATCATCCCTGAGTTAATGCAATTACAGCTTCCATGTCCATCAATTGCTAATAAGAAGGTATGGACTGCATCTTCTACTGGACAATACAACTTCAGTCACACTGCTGCTCACTTGGCTGGGAATTTGAAATGGTGCCGTGGTCTAATTTGGTGTGGAAATCCCCAATTATCCCTAAAATGAAATTTAATTTGTGGCTGGCAGTCCAATCTAAACTTCCAACTTTTGATAGCAAATCGATGGCTAAGCACCATAATCTCTGTGTCCTTTGTTCTTCATCAATGGAATTACATGACCACATCTTCTTCAATTGCCCCTTCATTTCACCAATTTGGAGATACATAAAGGATAAATGTCACTTCTCAACAGTGATCACAAATTGGAGGAACCTGGTTCAGCTTGCAAGCCACATGTGGAAGATCAATACTCCCCGAAATCTGGTTAGGAATATATGCCTTTCTTCAATTGTTTACCACACATGGGAAGAGCGAAATAGTAGAATCTTCAGGAAAGAAAAGTGTTCACAGAGAGTGGTACTGGCCAAGATCATCTCTACTATCACTTCAATCCTCAGACTTGGCTTCCTAAAGGACTGTGCTGCATCAAAGATCATTCTCTATGAATGGAATCTTGCCCCGTCTTGTTGCAGACCTCCTCCTCGCCCTCCAGACTAGCTCACTGTAGCCGTATGCCGGCTACAATTTCTCACCGGAGATGGTTTTGAAAACCCCTTTCAATTAACAGTTAATTTTGACAGTTATTGAATGTTTAGGTTATTTCAGGTTGGGCCTTTGCCCCTGCTACCCAATGGGGCTTGTTTGTAATTAATCAACTATGGGCTTCAGGCCAAACTTTCTAATCTTTTCAACCATCTAATGTTAGTTGCTTTATTTTTCAAAAAAAAAAAAAAACATTTTTGAGTGGGGTCCGACTCCTCTACAAATGTAATAATTCAGCGTACTTATTCTTCTTTCGCCAACCAGTAATTAATATAGTGATGATTCCAAATGACCAAGATAATTGAGTAGAGAAGACTCTACGCAGGAATGGAATGGAAAGGAATGACCATTTCAATAGAACTAAAATCTATTTTATAAAATGAAAATTTATTCTATTATTAAATTTATGGAATGGCCATTCTATTCCATAATAAGAATAAATATTTTTGTAATATTCCCAATAAACCCTTCATCACATTCTAATAAGGCAAAAATATTTCGCATAAATCAAAAATCTTTCACATTCCATTTTTTGCATTTCTCGAGCTTCTTTATTAGACGTGGTAAAGGTCTTTTACCTTCACTCCCTTCTGAATATACCCAGAGCTACCATTGACAAAAAGTTATAGGATATTCAACCATATTATATATATATATATAGCCTTTACATCAGCTTCTCAGGCTAAGTATTCAACCCGTTTTTGAATAAAATTGTACTGACAGAATATTAATTAGATTGATTTTATTAAAAAGTAATGAAAAATGTATTTTTGAGAAAAAAATCATTCCATTCTAGATTTAATAATAGTCAACCAAACAATAGAATGGTACTACCTTCGTCCCACATTAGAGGTCTATTTTTAGAAATGAGAGTTTTTAAGGAGACATGCATTTAATGTATTGTCCCCTTTTAAAATTACCAATTTGTCTCTTCTAATTTAAATATATATAATTACAAAGTTTGAAATTTTTTAAAAAGATAAAGAACAATGATGGAAATAGAGAATTTATTTGCTTTGACTCTTCAACAATTAATTTGGGACATTTAAAAAGAGAAAAATGAACTAATAATATGGGACAAAGGACGATTCACCGTGTCACACCAAACATTAGAATGGTAATACTCATTCTATTCTATTCTCATTCAATACCATGTTGCATTCCATTCTATTCCCGCACACCAAATGTAGACTAAAAGTTAGGCTGATATTCGCGTTACATCATAGATATCTTTGAGCGCTCCAATTTTTTTTAAATTCCAAAAAAAAAATAAAAATTTATAAAAATTTCAAAAAATTTACTTATATTTTAGGATAAAGTGCAATAAACATCCTGAATTATGTCTAAATTTTTAAATAATCTCCCTAAACTAATGTTTATACATTAAACCCTTGAACTATCATATTTAGTTACAAAATGTCCCATTGCCTTGAATATTTTTTATTAATTGATTATAGTTACATTTCCTATTGAATTACACTAGATCAATTTTTCTTGTTGAAATAAATTGTGAAAAAATGTCATACTAATTTGATTAAATATTCTCCATTAAATTTATATAAGTTTGATTTTTATTTTTAAAATTAATTATTTAATTAAAAATCTTAGGTAGAATTTTTGAAACAATTTAGGTAATTTCTTAATTTGTCATGAATATTTTGCATAAAAAGAAGATATTTTTAATTTATGAAATTTATTAATTTTTCATGAATACTGTATGAAAAAAAATATATTTTTTTACATTAATTTTTTTATTTTTTAATTTTTTTATTTTTAAAAGTGAGTATAATAAGTTTTATTTTTAGAAAATGGTAACTACAAATCTATTTTTTTTTTTTTGATAAATTGGTACTAATTATAAAATTAAGGTAAATGGTATAATTAATATTTAAATGAGAGAAAATATAGTAAAAATAATTTAATAAGAAATGACACATTTAATAAAAAAAGGGTATAATAGTCTTTTGTGATGAGTTTATCTTTAATTGCAATAAATCGATAGTTTAGGGAGTTATTTGCAAAAGGACAATAGTTTAGGGGGTTATTTGCCCTTTATCCATTCAACTCATCTTGACCCTCAAATTAAGTGATTAAAAATTACCCAGCTCATGTTGGCCCTCAAACTTAATATGGTTCATCTACAATCATTAAAAGGCGAACGATATAGGCCAATTAATGATTTCTGACTCATTTTGTCACCCCTAGTTATGCCCATGGCGGCCCCACACGAGGACTATATTCAAATTCAATTCACTATAAAACCTCACGCATATGCACTAACTTATTGAAACTTTAGGAGGCCACTTCTACTTTTTAGCAATGGAATAGAAGCAGTTTCATTTGTTGACTTGTGAATCAATATGGCTTGCAATGAGCTTTTTTCATTTATTTGGGTCGGTTTTGTTTTAGTACCATAATAGTCTTTGTACGTCACATGTCGGTATTTGATCTCACTCTTTCTATTTATTAGTGGGCTTGCAGGTGCAACTGTGGTTGTCAGCCCAGGCCCATTGCTCACAGCCATTGATATCCTTGTTCTTTCTGCATTTGTCAGATGATTCAAAGTTTTGTACCTTCCATTGTTCAAAATCTAAGATCACAAAAATGTTCGTAATGATCGAAGGGGTTAGTCTTATAGTGACTCCAGGCTGGACATATTGGTTAAGTAACAACACAAGTAAATACTAAAGGACATGTAGCCGAATGGTATAACCTCTCCATCCTTAAAGAGAATGAGAGATTCATAAGATATAATTTTGATACATCAATCTAAACCTAGTTCGAGAATATGAATTTTAGCCAAACTAGGACAGTTTTCTTTGTTGCTTGGACTCGAATTGAACTAACCTCTAAGCAATTAGTATCCCATATATTTTGTTAAATTAGAATTACATGAGAGACTAAGTAACCTTCATGTAATCTCCTATGTTGACAACAAAAGTCACTGGCACTTGTCCAACAGCAACCCACTCTTCGTCGTGTTCAACTTGTAAGACATCAACTTCATTTTGCATCAAAATTGTTATTCCACCATGATCAGAATGTGGCGGTATCCCAAGTGTTCAGTGTGGCTCTGGACATGGAAGGTAATAGTTACAATCAACGAGCTGAAAACCTTCTCTAAGTGACTTCTCTATGTAATCACTGTCAAGTCCTAAGCCTTCTGATATTGCACTTGCTATCTTCAGTTGCAACTTCTAAACCACCTCTAAATATTCATTTGCTATGTACCTTTAATTGACAGGTTTGGATTAATTTTGAAAATGAAATTGAGAGAAATAGGTTCATTTAAATATGAGTATTTAATTACCTGTAGTTAAGAGGGATTGCTGGGCCAAAGATGAATGCTACTATGCAAAGGACGACAATGAAGCCCTCAAATAGACCCTCCAATGGAGATCATTGTTCGTGGATGTAATCACGCTTATTCCATACCTTACAGCTGGATTTATTGGATCGTCCGAAGCATATTTCATCTTTTCTTCCAAAGAGAGATTGAAAAATCTTTCTACGGCCTCCAGCATTTCTTCCATTAGAGAGATCTTTATCCCGTGATTAATAATTGTTAATTTTTGTTTTGTTAATTATTAAAGAAATATTAGCAAAAGAAACCATGTATTAATATCTAAAACATGTAAACCAATAAAAACTGCATAAGTAAAATATATATATCAGTGAGTCATGTAAACTCTAATTAATTTGTGTTAAACATTAATCACAAATTATCATAAATTCCTAGATTTTAGAACTTCAATTAATTTCACATCCTTATAACGCATAAATAAATATAGTTAGATATACATACCTTGATTTATGATATTAAACCTTGTTGAGATTAAATCCAACATCTAGATCTTTTAACCACGAACCAATCTGCAATTATGATCAACAGGCAAAGGCGGAAACTAATTTATCTCTCTTGGCTTTTTGCACACATAAAACTTTTACGTGTTGTATCCTTAATCGTACATAATTGATGGAGTATATGCATTTTTATAAATGCAGAGAGAGGACCAGTTTTCCTTTTAATAACATAATTCTACTTTCCATTAAAGTAAGAAATAAGAAAGGAAAACACTTCTCCAATAAGTAATTACCAAAAAGGTAATTATAAGTTGACCAAAAATAAATAATATTAATTGATATCTATTTATTTAGCCACCAAGTAATATGTCACATGTCCAAATCATGTGGGCTACAATTAAATAAATAATCTTACATTCTCCCACTTGGCACATATGATAATTTCTGTAGTGGTTTAGTAAAATAGTCATTAGTGTGCACCATAAATCAGATTAAGGTATTAAGATGGTCATCATAAATACCATAGTAAACAAACTACCAATGTGAGTTATGGCGGTTGTATGTCATTAAATGACACAGTCCCTTCCATGTACCACAACACTAGTAACCCATTTAACATAATCTATAAGTGAGAAGCATTAATAAAGGTCTAACAATAAT